CAAATATTTTAAAGTATGGCCACAATAGGCTACCACAGAATAAAGGTGGCATCCTAGTTACCTCTCCTCTCCCTCACAGCATTGCTCTCAGCATACAGCTCTGAAGTTTTATAACACCTGACAAACTGTGAGCTCCCTTGGTTCAGTTTCTTGGATAGCTGCTACTTGATAAAAGTAGCCAATTTTGATACTGCTACATTAATAACACAAAATCACCCACTATAATCTTAGTCCCCAGCTGGAAAAGAACACAAGTGCAAAGAAGGTATCTGTCTTTATAGATGAGGTTTGTAAAAATAAATTGGGAAGCTACTCATGGGTCTGCTGGGAAAGTCTTGTGACTGGGGGTAGGGGGAAAACAGCCAAAGCCTCTGAAAGATCTTTCACATAGGGAAACACCTATAGGATACTGCTCAGAGCACTGCTTTAGTAAAAACAGTTACTCAGGAAGCGTTTAACCTTTATTAGCCTAAAGTATTAGCCATTATTGAATAAAAATATACACCCTCTTCCCCTTTCTAAAACCTTTAGATTGGACGTGTCACTGATTTGAATTAAATTCTAAACCTTAAGTATCTTCAGTCAGTAGTCAGCTTTCTAAAAACAATGCTAAAATTGTATGTTTCTATTTGACAAATAGCAAAAAAGTATTTTCTGAGCATACAACTTGTAAAATTTTAAAAGTTTTATAAAAGCTCTCTTTTTTCCATGGATCAAAATTATTTAAGATCAGTTCTCCTTGTAACCACTACACTTTCATATTTGAAGAAGCAAGCCAAAATACTCACATAACTACCCTTAGGTTTAGGCACAGAGTTCTAATTCTTAGCAAGCCACATTTGTGTATATCTGATTATTTTTTCCTCGTCACTTTGAAGAAGCAGTCTTGGTATGCTTTGAGCTGGCAACAAGTCAACAACCTTCTTAGCATCCCCTGAAGTTAACATTTGTAAAACCACCTTGTAGGGCAACCAGGTCAACTGTTGACTTTAGGGTTTTTACAGATACAGCTCTGTATTCATTTCTACTGAGAAGCTGACAACCTGGACATACTAAAGAATACAGATTCCCAGGACCTTTCTCCTTCCAAACTAGCAGCCAAAGTGCACATGTGGGGAAAATAGTTATGAAAGTAAGATATTGTTAAAGAAAGCAAAGGAAATTTCTTCTTCAGATTGAGCAGGAAATTAATATGGAAGACAAGTATATTGAGCTAAAATGTTATTCCCATTTTCACTAAAAACCTGCAAATTCATGATCAACATCAAAATGGCTGTAGTATTTCATCAGCACTATTTATACATGAGTCTAAGAATGTTTATTTTTGTGAATTTTCACTGCAAATGTAAAGAAAAGCCAGAATGAGTTAAGTTTTGCAGGTTTGGATCTCTAGCACACATTAGCAGTTAATGTAATTTACAGCACTTGTTGAAACCTTCCAAAGAAGCATGTAGTTAAAGCTTATATATTGCCTAGCTAAGTTAACACTACAAGAACTTTCTGTTCTCAAACTCAGTCTTTGGAAAAATGTGTATGCTCAACAATCTTGGTGCTTAGTCACATAAAATTGCTCTTTCAAGTGATAAGATCCCAGACAACTGTGTCTGAAAAAAAAATGAGCAAGAAAAAAAAGTAGCAGCTAAACACAACGTATGTGTAGTAACTTCCTGCAATGTTTTGGCTGACCGTTTTGTTTATCTCAATTCAAATACCAAGTACTACATTAATACACAAAGGCAGTAACTTGCTTTATTTTCAGACACAGTCCTCTAGGATCTCATCACTTAAAAATCAGCAACCTTATGTGACTAAGCACCAACAATGTTAAAAAACAAACGTACTTGCACAGATGTTAAATACCAATGCAATGTATCTACAATTGTTACCAAACAACATAGAAAATATTTAAGATGGATTTAGAATGGCCACTGTGCTGTTTTTCAAGTAACACTGAGTATCAAAGAGCAAGGCACAAACTGTAGTAATGAGTTTGCATTTTTATACTGCCTTACAGGCATAGTCATGTATTATTTTGTCAGCAGCAGCTGAAGGAGTTACTAGTTGTACTCTCCCTTTTAATCTCCTCCCACCCTCATCATGATGACTCACTGTTCACTCCCATGGTTTTACCACAGATTACTTGCTTCCACCAAATACTAAGAATATACTTATTCAAAAGGGGCAAGGAAGGACCAAGGATCTGACTGATTAACAGATGCAGTTTAGTAAACAGTCACAGAAGCATCTGAAGAGGCTCAACCATGGAAATAGTAATTTCTGGCAATAAAGTAGAAACAAAACATTGCAATGTACAGTTTCAGACTGGATCTGTTTTTTGAAGAATAACATGTAACTACAGCCTTAACCTTTAAAAAGCCTCATGCACCTTAACATCTACTAGAAGATTGCACTGAATTGAATTTGTGAGTAGTTTCCCTCCCAAAGAGTAAGGCTTAACGTTATCCAGTTTAACATAGGTGTTATAGGTTCTTACCACCTCTTGAACACCATCTATGATTTCAGAGTAGCAGGATAAGCAGTGAAGCTAAGTTTCAGCTTATTCAACTACACTATCAGGAATAACAATTTCAAATTTTGGAGACAAATACTGGTACCTATCCTGCATGGATACCTAAAGATTCAGAAATGATGTCTAGTGAGGCAGGGCAGAAATAAGCAGAACAAGACTGCACTGACAGGCCTGTTCCTAGTCTACTGGATAATATTAATCACAGAGCAATATTACTTTGATTTCATTAGCCTAAAGATAATGGGTGCTGCTTTAAAATATGTACCCTTAACATGGACACATTTAGTTGTTTATGCAACCCTTGAACTCCTACCTGAATCATTCTTGGGGATGGTTCATGCATAGTGTATTCATGCCCTTTTCAAGGACTGGCCTTTTGTGAACTGATGAGAAAATAAATGCATGTATTATTGAAGTATGCAATAATAACTTGAGTGACATGTAAGAGAAAAGAATCCTTCAAAATATCAAGATATTTTAAGTGTTACTGACCAGAGTTCAGAATTACTACAGAATTATCTGTGGTAGAATGATTAAGTAGGGAACAGTGGCTTGACAATATAAAGCTAGGATGGATAACTGCAATCTTACTGTCTTTGAGGAAAAACAGGAAAATTGCATGCCAAATAATCTCCATTCTTAAAAATCTATCAATAACTTCTCAACAAAATAACTGGATAAATCCAGCTTTTTGTTTTGTTTTTTGTGGCTTTTTTTTTGATAGAAAAACATGAAGTGGTACATCAAAAGTACAAATTCTGCTTCCAGTAAGTAAGAGGAATGTACAACTCCCTGACACTATACAATAAAATCCACTGAACTGACAGAAGTGGTTAAAAGTGCAAGTTCAATGAGCTTCTGTTGAACAGTTCTGCTGTTGATAATACCTTTCCATGTAAAGGTAAAGTACAATTAAGTCCTCCTGAAATGACTGAATCCACATTTAAACAGAGAACTCAGGCTAGTAATGGACTTCTCTATAAGGTTCCTTATCAGGAAATGCCCATTTTAATTACCCTCCTAAACACTGTGGAATTCAGCCATACGACAAAAATGTTCAGTAAACAACCGCTTACTTCATTATGTATATAAAGGATTTCAACAGCTGAATCTTTATCCTTCTTTGACAACCTTCCTACTTTCCTCTATTTCACCCTTCTCCTCTGGAGAATGCTGTAGCACTCTTTGATGAGCTTCCACTCTTATTAGCCTTTCCTTGCTCACAATTAAGAAGAACGTCAGAAGTTTTCCTTGGTGGAGGTTAGTCTGGATTTACCATCACCGTCTATGGTACTAGCAGAAAGAATGGGTTTGATCAATACTGAACATTTTAGAAGAAACTCCCATATTTCAACAGCCTCTCATTCTAAAGTCTACTGAATTTTTTTAAAAGGTGAAATAACTAGTAATTAGATTATCAGACATTAGCAGAGGTGCTAAATATTACTACTCATAGCAAGTAGACAAAGCACGCATTTACCTTCAATGTTCTTTACTTTAAAACACATATTAAAGAAACTCCATGCTATGACTCTGTTACACACTTGAGTTCTCAGTATTTTAGAAGGTGCATTGGACCTTCAGATTCACTCCTGCTGTTACTGTATGATGTTGGAGCATTCCTAACTCTCCTCCTGTTTTGAACAGCTGTCATGTTTAGATGACCTACACTCAGTATATCTATATTAATGTATATAGTATATTGTGTAAATTGGAAAGGTTCAGTTTTCTTTATGTCACTGGAACAGGCTCTCCAGGGAACTGGTCAGAGCACCAAGCCTGTCAGAGTTCAAGGGGCATCTGGACAACGCTCTCAGTCATATGCTTTAGTTGTAGGTAGTCCGACAAGGAGCAGGGAGTTGGACTCTATGATCCTTATCGGTGCCTCCCAACTTGAGATATTCTATGATCCATTCTATGATCTACTTTGTAGTTATAAAGAAGGTTTAATGGCATGCACGCAGTCATTAAGCAGAAAAAAAAAACCTACACAGAAAAGGGTACAACACATTAACATAAGCAATGATGGGAAAGTACTACTGGTAATGTCTTCAAACCACATCTGTTCAAGAAGAATGCTCTTTAGAAAGAACAACTTTTAGGTAAAGGAATGAACAGTAACACTATAGAATAAACTATTTCCATGCATGATCATCAGGGGAAGAAATCACCTGAAAAAAGAACTGTATTATACCAAATCAATTCTTGATTCATGGTCACAAATATGTTCTTTTAAAGTGCCCCGATTTTTTTCATCTCAGATAGTACAAGAGCACTCAAAGACTGCAAGCAAAAGTAATACAAGATTATAAACTACAATATAGTGTAACACAAGATTATCTTTATTTCAAAAATGTACAAACTATAAACATAAAGATATAATTACACTGAAGTAAACTCTGCTCTAAGTATTTGCATACTTAAGCAATAATACTCCCATTAAAAAATGCCTTTTTCTCATTAAGAAATTTTATCTTATGGAGCGATACATCATGAAATCAATTGTTGTACATCTAGGAAATTTACCAATAGAGCTCTCTTCCACTGGGGTGTACACTTTGATTTGTCTCATGTGAGTGTCTCTTCCATTTTGGTGATTAGCTAGAACAGCAATCTGAATCATAAACGTGCGAATAGGCTTCTTATGAGTATCTGTTAAAGGAACATGAATCCAGCCACTTGGTTCCACTAATTCAAGTTGCTGCCAAAAACAAGACAAAAAAGCAAAACATTCAGAAACAGTTAACATACTTAATTTTAATGATCACATATTATACCCGTTTAATAGAGCAGAGTCTTGCAAACCAGATTTTAGTTACTTTTTCAAATGAATTTGAAATAGTACAGTTGAATACTCATAGCTAATTTACTGCTGGTGTAATTGGATACAAATTAATTCAGTTGACTACAGTTGTGTTTGCTTTTGCCTTTCAGAATCTACTCTTCATTTTGTGCCTTAACCTTAAAATAAAAATCAACATAAAAAATACAGGCTTGAGTATAAATTCAAGAAAGTTAAAGCAGTACTATTTGGATCTTGTTACTGAAGTACACTGCTCAAAGACGACAGAAAATACGCATCTTAAAGTTAAATTGTTTTATCTAGGCCCTCTGAACTAAAATATGCTAGAATGACTTACACAGGAAACTAAATCCACACAAAGTCTGGGTATTCAGAAATCCCTTAGATTATTGAGGGACCGGAGAGGAGGAAGAGGAAGGTGACAGAGGAAAAACTACAGGATAACTCATAAACTTCATCTCACCTATGTGAGAAGACAGATGCCTGGCCAATTAATAATTGCTGCACAGCCATTTAACCACATTCTAAGGTCCATTTTTACTTAGCTTTTATACAACAGACCGAGTGTAATATGATTATTTTTTTCTTTTTAATCCTACAGAAACCAATGTTAAAGCAAGCAAAGAGTTGCATTTCATTAACTCTAAACCACATCACTGACACATCAGCATGCTGAAATCAAGCTAGATGCTATGCAGAAGTGCGGTACCAGCTTTAAACAAAAGCTAGTTGCACAACTTCAAAGCACAGCTCAAAACACATATGGAAGGGCACACAAGTAAGCAGAAATCGGGGGCAGGGGGGGACATGACACAAAACCCAAAACAGTTGTCCACAAGCAAGTGGATTTCACACAGCTAAGCAAGTAAGACTGCTGTTCTTAGCAGCCGAGTTCCTCTAAGGAAGATCTATGCTTCGAGCAGCTCAAAATTCCCATCTTTCTCCTCAGAATAATGCACAACAAATGTCCTGTCAAATGCTTTGCCTTTGCTGAAGCTTTCAAAAGACCCATGTAAGATCTAGTGTTTCAGAGGCAGCAAATGCCCTGAGGAATGACCCAAGAAACAAGTAAAAAACGTTTGATGACTACTTTAAGTTTAAGGTGACAAATAAACCTTTCACACCTCCACATAAAGAAAGAAAAAAATCACAGCCCCAAACTCTCCACTGCTGCAGGCTCTCCAACAAACAATTTCCAAAGCATTAAATTCACTAAACTTTAGCAGCGAGTCTTTTCACTCCAGAAGCTAGACACTTCCACAAACACACATTCACTGATTTGTTATAACCCTGTCCATTTCAAAAAACCTACAAAATCTTTTTTTGCATAGGAAACTTCAGGTAACATTTGGCTTTACAAAGGGATAAAAATGATGTACTATTGAAGCGGCTTTACAAAGGGGACGTTTATCACGGTGAGGTAGTAGTCACAGGTTTAAGCAAGTACACTTTCCATCCCCACACTGAACAGAAAGGATGAGGATCCCAATAATATTTTATTCAACTAGTACTAAGGTAAAGAGGCTATGATTTAGAAGAAAATTAAAAGGTTAATGCTAATTAAACTTGCATTTTAATATTACTCTCAGTTCAGAAATTCTGTCTACTGATTCAAAGTGGAAAATTTACGTTTCAGAGCTATGATATTGAGATTTTTATGCTTGAATTAGTATGAAATGGATTAGCTGATACAGAAAAAAGTGTACCACTTGCTGTAGGTTGGCATCACTGGTTTCAGACAGATCCAACATAGTTCAGGTTTACACGCTTTACTGGGAAAGAAACTGCAGAGTGAAATAATGACTCCATCTCCAGAACCAAGGGAGCTACCAAGGGATTGGCAAAAATGGACTATGTGTACAAAAGGAAGTTGGATGCTTATTAAATTCACAGAGGAAAATCACATCTTTTATTTTAAAAGAATTATTAGGGTCATAAAGGACTGGAAAATTAGGAGTTACAAAGGTAATTTTACTAATGTAATAATAGACTTGTATCTTATTACATAAACAAACTTTTGAGCACATATTTATCAATGCTTTGTTTCATCCCTGATCAATGGGAGGTGGTCATATGCTTTATTTATAGCATGTTATTTTTCAGTCCTGCTACAAAGGCAGCCAATTTCTTCACAAGCCTTTCTACAGAGACAGTAGAAGTTATTTCTACATCTGTAAGACAGGCAACTGAGGCATTAGGCTAATTAGATTACAATTTCCCTAGTTCCAGATGCCGACTTTCATACTTTGAACCTGATTTTTCCTGACCTTAGTAACATACAATATTTTACATGAGATTTAGCTCCAAGTTCACTTGCAGATGTGTCTGAATTTCTGTGAATTGGTAAGAGTTCTCAAACCAGCCACTAGAACACACAGTATGAGCAGCCACCTAGGAAGTTATTTGCGTGCATCATGTAAAAACTCCATGAATAAGCACAGATTGCACACAATTCATCAAGCAGCATTCAATTCTGCTAGCCACAAAGCCTTTTTCTTTTTATTCCCGAAATCTCTGCTTCACTTACTCCACATGTTCCAGCTTCTGTAACAGATGAACACATCTTTGACAGTACAAATCCTGGACTCATCCTCAGAATAGACTCCTTTCCCCATTCCAATCAAATAGTTGCCTTTTGGACAAAGCATGCAACACTCATGACAAAGCTGAAGGCTGTACTACAACTTATTAAATGCAAGAGGTCTGTGTTAAGACTGAAATGTTTAGAAAAAATTAAGCTCTTGATTTTTGCCCTCTAAATAACACTACTGTACTGTGACATTTTTTGAGTCTTTTTTTTAAATTGATGCCTACATAGTTCAGTAAAATGATTAAAAACGTGAGACCCACCCAACTACTGAAGTTTAAATACAACAAAACCTAATGATTATTATCTGAACATCTCCTAGAAAAGGAAGTAATATTTTGCCAGTATCATACACGCATTTTCTGTGACCAAAGGAATGGTACAAACCAGACACACACACACGTTCCTAAATTCTTCCCTTCCACATCTGTAATGCTTTCAGATGGGCGAGACAGTTTCCTTCTCCAGAGGGCCCAGGTCCTTCACCAGGGAGAAGGAATATGACATTGGAATAGGCGGTGGTGGTACAAGACAAAATGCTGCCAACTCTTAAGTCCATGTCAGCACCCAGATCCAGCTATTAAAATTCCAGGCAGAAGTGGGATGAAATATGCAGCTCTACTCTGCCTGGAGCACTCCCAGTGTGAACAGAATCTAAAGGAAACTTACTGTGAAGTTTCAAGCCCATGCAAATGGCAATCTTTCAAAGCCTTGTAAACTGGTCTGCAAATCTGGGTGGATTTTTACAGGGAGGCAAAAGGCACATCCTCAACACAAAGGCTGAACTATTGCCAAATTTCAAATCCTTGCTTCAGAGCTTGGGGGCACTGGAGCATCAAAGAAGGACACCAGAATATTCTCACACAAGCAAAATAGCATACTTTTCACTAGCCTTATTCTTGGAACAGAACTGCTTTGGCTGAAACTTTCATAAAAACTCAACCCAAAGCAGACATCTGGCATGGAAAAATTTGTCTGAACTGAACTTTGGCAAAAGTTACAAAGTAACTAAGAGTTAAGCCTTAAAATGGAAAGGGTCACACAACCTTAAGTACAGGTAGTACTAGGAGCTCTAGGTAAATACTATACTTTAAATCCATTTCAGTTGACTCTGCTGTCAACCCTGTTCTTTAAAAGCACTAGCCAGTGCATATATGTGTGTTTCATCCCAACTCTACGGCATAAGTGCACTATGAGAAAATATTAGATTAAGATTCCTCCTGTATTGTATCCTCCTATGTAGGTCATTAAGAATCAGTTACAATTAACTGGCTTCCAGGAAAGTTTAAAATCAGCTATATTATTAATTACCTGAGTCATATTAAAAACTGGAAGTTTCCCTCTGTTATGTGTTTTACCACAAAAGATTTAAAAAGGGAAACAAAGGAAAGAATCATTGCAAGTTCAGTATTAGTAACGCAGCACAGTTCCTGCACCTCTAAACTAATCTTACTTACAATATACTAAAAGCCTAGCGTGCGTTTGGGTTTTTTTTGCTTTGTTTTGGTTTGTTTTAAATTTGCTTCTAACACTATAAATTTTGTGACAGTCGGTAAACAAGAGGAATATGAAAGTCACAGGAACAAAGGAATAAAAAATGAAATGGAAAAATCACTCGTGTCCTTTGCTGCTGTTATATACTCTAATATATCTCTTCTCCTGCTTTCTCTCCATTGCTTTCTTATTTTTCCTGTCCTCTGCGTGCTACAGCTTCGCCTGTGTACATACACTCTCACTCCAGTAATCCACGTTATTTTGAAACCCAAAGCAGAAATAGCGTTCTCAATGCAAATCTCCTTCCCAGCCAATTTAATAGCCCTCTTTCTTCACTTCATTGTATAATTCAGAGGTTCTACAGAATTCCATACACATTTGGCAAGACTACTATTGCAACTATTGGGTGTTCTACCACAGAAGATGCAAACCACACAACAAAACAAAAGTAACAAAAAAAAAAAATAATCAAGGTCAATGCAACTTGAGTACACTTGAGAAAGATAACTGAACACAAAACCAGAGCTTTTAAGAGGAAGTGTGTTCTACACTGGTATTGCTGGCCTCCTTATAGTATAGGAAATTATTTATCCAAAGCAGGCTTTTCTACTGTACTTAATCCAACCTAAACTGAATATTGACCTCCTTCATACTCAGTGGTATTCTGCTTAAATTCAAAGTGGCATATAACTCAAACTGCTATTTCTACTAGGCTTATAAACCCAACCCAAGTTGTTTGCTATATTTACAGTAGGCTAACATCCTTGAAACAACACATGATTTTTGCTGCCCTGTGTCCATATCTTTTGTGAAGATA